TTTATTGTTGACGTTTATTTTCTACTTGTTCGGTTAGAATGACTTAATATGTTGACAAAATACATTTTGTAATTTCAAGCGTTAAAGCAGATTGTGTGTAATACATGCATTGGAGCAGTGTAGAAATGGGTGCTTTGATCTCTCATTAATTTTAATGTAATGTTTTTGTTTTGTTTGATATATTAATAACTTGTGTTGTTTGCAATTGCTAATTAGGCTAGCCAAGGTGGTCCTCTACCAGAAAGCAGTGTTGGAGTACAAAGTGGAATACCACCTCCTCCCACATTTCAACCTGCTCCCCCTCCACCACCACCTGGACCTGGACCAATACTGCTGCAAACAGGATTACCTCCACCTCCGCCACCACCACCACCATCATTTGGTGCGGCACCGCCACCTCCGCCTCCTCCAGGTAAGTTTCATGTAGTGTTTCTCTTTCAGAACTACTGTATTTATTCGGGTAAGAGCCTATGCCTGGGCTAACGCCCACCCGCAACGAACTTCAAGACGAAGCTGTAGAGATTTTTCGACTCGGACTTTGAGAGTTTTGACTTTGACGAAGATGGCAATAGTTTTTAAACAACTATGAACTTTCATAATTTTTACTGTGCAAATTTGTAATTTATTATTGATCTTGTATGACAGTTGATCCATAATTTGTTGAAACCGGAAATAATTTTATGCAGTTTAACCCTGATATTTTAGTTCATTTTGTCAATTTTAATGAAGTAATGACAAGTTGGAATGCATATAATGCTTTCATGTTTTTCCTTGAATTTTTTTAAAAATGGTTTGGAATGTAGAATGTACTTAATTGTGCGTTTTGCTGTGTTTGTTTCAGGAGCTCCGCCTCCTCCGGGTGGCCCTCCGTTATATAGCAGCTCGATGAATAATGCCTTTCCACAAAGAAGAAAAGATCTGCCTAAACCTGATACTGCGCTGAAGTCTTTCAATTGGTCTAAAATGCCAGAAAGAGATGCAGTCGGCACATTATGGCAAGACCTCGACGAGTCTAAGGTATGTATTCTAACTACTTTCAGATATGCCATCGTGATATTGTAAAATATAATTGTCTTCATTATGGGAACGAAATTTTCTCAACTCTGTTTTATCATTATTATGCACAAAATTGTGCATCAACAGTAACAATCCATCCAGCTAGTAACAACTTCAAAGTCAACTGTAATCAATTGTATATTCAACTTTATATTATACTTATGTAACCAATTATCTGTATTACTACAAGGATTTTCATTTCTACTTCCTGGTCTCAAAATACTGATGACCATCGTTTTTGTATGCATCATGGTTGTGGCACATCCCTGATTTTACTTGCAAACTTTCCAGGAATCGTGATAAAGTTTTTGCATTGAATATTACAGGCTGTGAAAGTGATAGACCTTGATGAATTTCAAAAGACGTTTTCGGCGTACCAGAGGACGAAAGTGGAAGATGACGAAATGACGATAATCAAACCAAAAGCTAAGGAACTCTCAGTGATTGACGGGAGACGAGCTCAAAACTGCATCATCTTATTGTCCAAATTGAAAATGACAAATGATGAAATTGCAAAAGCCCTGATGTCAATGGACCAGAAGGAAGACATTCCTAAAGATATGCTAGAACAGGTTAGAACCAGTACAATACACTGAAAATGTACCATGTGCATGTTCATATGTATTGTACTTTTGTGATCTTTATAATGATTTATCTGTTTTAGTTTACTCATTTTTAAGATTGAATAAGCTTTAATGCATACTGTGAGTTAGTTTTCAAGTTTTGCTTTGACCTTATATAAACTAATTCTTGTGTGTAATTTTAGTGTGTTCAGTATATGCATTACTGTGAATTTTACAAAAGACAAATTTTCACAAGTCTGGGAACATTTCACTGGGTCTTTAAGCCCCCTCAAACATTTCCAAATTATCAAATCCAGAACTTTTCTGGGAAATGAAAATTTAGTGGTTTATAATATTTAAACGCATTGACAGTGACACGCCGCTTAGTGAGTTGTAGTGTGTACCATACAAAGTTGACATATTGTTGTGTCTGCACAGCTCCTGAAATATGTACCCACAGCGGAAGAAGTCAGCTTATTAGAAGAACACAAACATGAAATTGATCAGATGGCCAGGGCGGATAGATTCCTGTTTGAATTAAGCAAGTATGTACAATTATGCGTCAGTCTCAGTTTTCATTGTTGCACAGCAGCCTTTTTATAAAACTCTTGTATTTATTCTGTCCTTATTATGCAGTTTGTATACTGAAGTCTATGACAAAGACATTCAAAGGATTTGTTTTAATAATGTGTTCCATATTAATCACATGGGCATTAGAACATTTTCATACATATTATCATACAAATTTGTCTTCATGAGATTTGTGGCGTGATAAACGCAATTGTGAACGTAGCTCTTTCTAATTCAGTCATTCTAAACTAATGTGTTAAAAAATTAGAAATATTTGATGTTATCAGCCCTGCCATGCGACTGCCCTTTTACAGGGTTGTGGTGTGTAGGGTGGTGGTGGTTGTCCCACATATACATTGTGTGTAAAATGTGTTTATACAAGTCTGCGGTATAATTGGCTCTAATAACATTGTGATTGCCATCATCATATTTCAGAATAACACATTACGAGCAGCGGTTGAAAGCGCTGTTTTATAAAAAGAAATTTGCAGAAAGAATGGCCGAATGTAAACCTAAAGTTGAAGGTGAGTGATCATCAACTGCATCATAGTAATTGCCTGTTGAAAAAAAATGTAGCATTTTTGCTGAATGCGGGCACCCCGCTGTATTTTGCAGTATGTCGTTGTGTGTATAAAATGACAGATATGTGTCTATCAGAGTTGGCATAATAACGAGTCACCTCTATTGAGCTATTGAACTAAAGTTATCCCCCTGTGGAGTTAGTAATTGTGTAATTGCTGCAAATTTATTTTTAGCGCACGTCCTTTGAAGATCAGTTTCTCCACTGTAACATAAGCCTCAAAGTTGACATGTGGTTAGCTTCTTTTAATGTAGTGTAATGTTTATTGAATTATCGAATAACCAATCATGTGGATTTAAGGTAGTAATCTAGCATTGTCAAGTAGGACTGACATCGATCAAAGAAGAGATTAAATATAATAAACTTTCCTCATTATGGCATTTATTATTTGTTAGAAGCACAAATTGTGTCCTATGTCTAGTTTCATGGGGAAGTCGGCTTCAATTTCACAAGAGACAAATTCCTGTAAGGAAAATTGCTCGTAGACTGGTGTTCCTTGAGACAGGGAGTCGCCATCACTTTCAGGCAATTTGTCAACACAAATATCTTCAGTGTTTGAAATTACTGCCTAGTGCATGCCCAAGATGGGTATTTTGATGGGTCAGTCAGTCAGGGCAATACAAATTTAAACTTGCATGTTGTTGGTCTGGTCAAATAGACCATTTTCCGTACACTGCGAGAATCACGCGTTATGCGTGAAATCGAACGTAAAAACAGGACAAACAAAGGTCATAGCGTCGTAGTCGCGTCAAACATCGCGTGGGATTCGACAAACGCGGAAGTATTTCGAGGACATTTCCATGCTTAATAATGTGCTGTCCACATTTGATGATAGGCAATTTCGATTAAGTAAGGGTATTCGGAAGCAATATTCCTCTGTCGAAGATGGGCCGATCAATGTAAGCTACGAAATAAAGAAATTCTCGTTCAAAATCAAATCGTTCGATTTTTGCGGCAGACGTTCGACGCGCGTCTTTCATGCATCTCGCGAGATCTCGCAATTGTACGGAAAATCACCTATTTGTTCATTCTCTTCTTCAATAGACAATTTGAACTGTCCTTGAACTTTAACCCCATTATCACAAAAATTGGGAAACCAAAATTTTAAATGGGAAAATTGCTTAAATTTATATTGTTTGTTGTGTGTGTATAAGTGGAATGCCAAGTTTCTGTCGTGCTTACTTGAAATGATAACAAAAGTATTTAAAACTGAATTTTAATGCATGGCCGGTAACTTTCTGACGGCTGATAAAATTTGAACGTTACCTGCCCTGGTGTCTTGTACACAATTTTGAGAAATTTTAAACGCTGATATCCTTAAATAATTCAATCATAAACTTTTCTTTTTATTTCATTTATCAGCGGTGCTCCATGCATCCAAGGAAGTCATCAAAAGTAAAAGGTTGCATAAACTATTGGAAGTAGTATTAGCCGTCGGGAATTACATGAATCGCGGGCAAAGGGGCAATGCCGTAGGTTTTAAAGTATCCAGTTTAAACAAGATAATAGATACCAAATCAAGTATAGACAGAAGTATCACATTATTACATTTTATTATTGAAACGTTACAGAAAAAGGTAAATACGACCATTTCCATTGTTCCTTGCATTGTTACTCATTTTTTATTCGATACATGTAATATCAAGAACTTATAAATTTGATCGTGTGCTGTTCCTGGTGACTCAAGACATAATAAGTTCAGAAATACTTTTATGTGAGAAGCAGTGAGTCTTGAATATTTGTACTGTTTAGCATGCCCTAGTTCAAGAACTAACTTTGTGACAACTAGGGGAAGGAGGTTTGCACGATACATACAACCAAACTTGTTCTTGTGATTTTAAAGTGTTCTCTTTGTGTTTTATCTTGTATAAACATTTGTTGTTATTGTTATTATACAGCTTCCAGATGTGTACAAATTAGAAGATGAAATTCCTCATGTTCATCAAGCAGCTAAAGTCAGGTGAGTTCAAGGTCAACCCCAAACAGCTTTCCTTCTACCAGAAAAAAATTTTTAGCGAATCAGCAAAAATTGAAAAATTTTGTAATTTCAGTTGGGCCAATAATGACGTAGCAGCTTTTGCGAAATGTTGTCCTCACAAACAGTCATCACCTGCGAGTGAAAATTAAATGGGTTCATAAATCTCTTGATATTAAAGCTCAATCAATCCTAGCTGTCACACCAAGAATAAAAAAACTAGAACCTATCACATTTAGGCCAAAATTGAGATTGAATTCTGTGAAAATTACAGAAAATATGAACAAATTTACCCTGTTCATCTTGTTGAAATACATGACTGTCTTTTTTTTTTGCAATCTGTCTGGGAACCTAGTAGCGCACACAATGCAAACAAGATTGGTAGCATGGATTCTTGATCTGTTGTGTTTTACCTCACACTGCATTATGTTACATATATGATACTATAATGTGTCTAATCTATACAGTTAGCAACTCTAGATCTGTAACTAATCTGTTTTATTTTTTGTTTGTATAGTCTTATAGAACTTGAGAAAGAAATAACTGTTCTAAAAGTGGGACTCAAAGGATGTGTTACGGTAAGCACTTACTTCTTATAATCATGAAATTCTTCACTTGTTAGAGTGGCTGTTTTGTATCCGTGACAACTGAAGGTATGTTAAGTGGAATTTGTATAACGTATTTGCTCTATTAGAAGCACATGTCCAATAGAAGCAGACATGAACCAAGAGTTTTATTTCTTGCTCATATTCCCTAACTGGGAGTAGACCGTTGTCTTTTTCTTGACCATGGACTTGCCTCTTTCATTTACATAAGTACATGCGTTTCTAATAGAGCTAATACAGTATCTTAGTTCTGCGTATATAATTATTTCAGTCATAATTTCTTGTCAGTCATAAATAGTGTTTATTCATTTTCTTCTCCGCAGGAATTGGAGTTCCAGAAAAATAGACTCAATCCGCGTAGTGATAAATTTGTACCGGTGATGAGCGACTTTGTAACTGTGGCAACCCTTCGGTGCTCTGAACTGCAAGATTTAGTTACAAGCATGAAAGATAAGGTGAGCTCTATATATGATGTGTAATAAAGCTGAAATCTCTAGTGTCAAAAATACCATGTTATAATATAATCTTTGAAGTCAACTTTCATCAATGAAACTTGAAATATTCTTTTTTCAAATTTAAACAAAACAATTGTTTAAAAACCTTCAGGTAATGGGAAATATTTGGTACAAAATTAACAAAAAAATACATGCTTTTTGGTATGTTTCTCAAAAAACAGAAAGCATCAATAACACATACAATTGATTGTTTCTTTAGTACGCCAAAACATTGAAACATTATGGTGAAGACACAAAGATACCGCCTGATGAGTTCTTTGGAGTGTTTGATGTATTCCTACAGTCCTTCTCTGAAGCTAAGGTAGATAATGAAAACTACAAGAAGAAGAAAGCTGAAGAGGAAAAGAGAAGAAGGCTTGAGATAGAGGTGAGAATAGTCACCTTTCTTCATGAAATAAATATCCTATCATTCTTACAATTCACCACTAGAGGGGTTCAAAATGAAGTTAGCTAACATTCTCACACAAATTGACACGTTAAATTTTGAATAAAAAGTTGTTTGTTTCAGTTGAATCTCCAATAGAAGATTTTATGATCATTAAGGTTTGACTTATTGTGACCATAGACTTACCTCTGTCATTTACGTAATTACTACTCATCAAGCAAATACTATAGCAAAATTATTTAAACCGGAAATTAGCACATATTTATAATGGAAATGGGAAAATATTTGTTTCTATTCATTTGTCATTGATTTTACGTATTTATTGTTAAATTTCAATTTCAATTTGAATGCTCTTCTCTTCTCTTTAAGCATTCCTACTGTCATTTTATAATTACAGAGACTTGAAAAGGAGAAACAACGAAGGGCAAGCAAACAGGGTAAACAGGGTCGGAAAGACGGTAACAAGGAAGGAGAATTTGATGACTTAATATCTGCCCTGAAGACTGGCGATGTGTTTGGCGAAGACATTGCCAAACTGAGAAAGAACAGAAAGCGTCAAGTACCAAGTAAAAAGATGGAATTTAGCCGTGAAAGGATTGGCGCCAAGGGAAAGAAATAAAGTTGTTGAATTGTGTGACCGTTTTTGGTAACTTGTTGCATTCAATGACATGTTATGCCGGTGTAACATTGTACGTGCTGTGTACTGTGCTGTGTTGTGATGTATTTACTGGTATATGCAATGTGTAAGGAGTTTGCAATATTTTGACACTGTTCTAAGTGAAAGAACAAACTTGACAATGTGATACCCGAGATATCAATCATAGCCGACAGCATCTTGTGAAGCAATGTTGATTCCCATGGGGGGGGGGGGGGGAAACGAACTTGACAGTATGACACCTGACATAATAGTCAACAACATTTTGTAAATCAATGTTGATTCTAATGGATTTCATTCGTACTACTAATTGCATTAAAATCAAAAACAAAGAAAGGTATATTTATTCAGTCACAAAGACATCGCTAATATGAAAAAGGCATTCTTGTTTTTATTTCAAGTTTTATTTTCAATTTTGCATTCTCAATTTGCCATTTTTTTTTTTACATGAGGCTGCATAATTTTTTTTAAGTGTTTACCTAAATTTAGTTGCAGTAGAAACAAAATCACAAAAAAAAAAAAAAACGGGCATCTGTCGGCCATGCAAATGTTTATTGCAAGGGTTGGAATGTCCTAACACCATAAGGTTTCGTAATCCTTATTAACCAAATTAAATGACTACAAGACCAAAGGCAGTTTATGCAGACTGTAAAATTTTTTTTATTTTTGCTCATCACAGTGATGTGTGACATTAAAAGTTAGGGTTGGGAGATAATATATAGAGTTTGTTTTTGTTTTTAAAATTTTTGCTGTGCTGTGCCATGCACAATAAATAATATTACCAATGCCAATATTGAGATGTACTTAAAACTGCCACAATTAAGATAGCTTATACAAATTATTAATTGGTGTGACAGCTAGGATTGATTGAGCATTAATATCAAGAGATTTATTTATATATTGTGCAGCACAGCTGCCAATGATGAACCAGGGGCTCTGATATAGCTAATGTTACTTACCATACTTTGTGTGTCAGATGTGTACAGGATACAATGCATTATGTCATAGCTTTGTGATTGTTACTGTAGTCAGCTTACTGATTTAATGTTTCATACATTATTCCACTGTTAAATCCCACTACATCTCTATTTGTGATGACATTTTAATTCTGTATCGTACTGTCGGCTCATTACTGCCTGTATTGCATGCCTTGTTTTTGTCAAAGGTAGTTAGTTAATCTGTACTGTCGGCTTGTTACTGCCTGCCTGCTGCCTTGTGTTAGTCAATGGTAGTTAGTGATTCTGTATCGTACTGTCCGCCTATTACTGCCTGCCTGCCTGCCTTGTGTTTGTCAATGGCAGTTAGTGTAACCCAGAAAGTATTATTAAAAAACGGTCTGGATGTTTATCCGATTTCTTTTCGGTTTTCAAAATAAAAACAAATTTTTCAACTTAATAAATATTGTATCACCATTCATGGTTGAAAATGCAAATTACAAGTGTGGAACGAGTCTGGTTGCTTGATTCCGTTGTTGAATAGTTTTCTATTCTATAGATGTTATCAGGATGTACACGTTTCAAAGTCTAATTATGCATGATTAACTATGTATGAGTGTGATTGGTGGCGCTCGTTGCATGCATCAACCTTTATCCTGCCAGTCATTTTATACTGTTTTGACCAGATGAGGTTTAACGCTGAACTCAGAAGTGTTTATTCCACTGCTTTGTACAAAGTGAATTACTTTTAACATTGCTTGTTGAACACTAACTCAATGTATAAACATTATATGTTCAGCTTGTGACGCTGCAGTTACTCTCCGACAACTAAAAGAACAGATAAACAACCTCTATTGATTCCATTTCATGATTTTTGGTAGCTTAGCCAAAGATGGCCGTAATTACTTAGTTACGAGTATACGCATGATGACACATTGCCGACCCTGACGGAAATCAAATTTTAGTTGGGATGGTTCATGACTTGTTCTATTAGTTGTCTGAGGCTCATTGTATCACTGTGACAATACATGGTAGGTGTGTAGTTTATCACCGGTTTGAAGTGTTATATTCTAGTATGTAAACATTGTCTTGTATTCAGATTGGTCATCATACCAATATTCAAGTACATCTCCATTATCAAATCTACATGTCTATTTTTTTTTTTCATGTAATTAGTTTTAACAAGTTCTTAAACGGCGTATATTATTTTTATTTAGTACATACAAATCTATATTTTGGCATTATTGTATATTTTATTAAAGAAGTTAAATTATTAGTCTTCAGTTTAATACTACAATCATGTATACTGGAATTTTTGAACATTCCCTGTAATAATTATTACAATTTTTTAACAATCAAAGTGGGCAGGGGTGGGAGTATTGCCTTTTGTTGTTGTTAAGGTACTGGACATACTTTCTTAGTGGTTGCTGGTACCCCATTATTTGAAAGTGTTAAATTTTGCTTTCTCCTCTTTGAGATAAAATCGTCATCTCAAAACTAAGCAAAACATGTTTCTGTTCTTTATTTATATTAATTCTTCTGCACAAAAATCTGTTGTGTCTTTGAAGCTCAGTACTCGGGGGTTACTAAATATTCTTTCATTGAGAGATTTTATAATAATTATGCTCAACTTATCCTTTTTATATGCACTGTGATGGTAATTGACAAAGAAAAGTGTTAGAATTTTGTCACATGAACAAGGAACTGTGTGTTGTTTTGCCATAAACCAATTCTTTGAAATTCAACGATTTCTCTTTCTTTTTCTTATATATTTTTTGAAAATGTATTTATCGACTCCAAAGCCGTTGTGATCTCTTATGTAAGCAAGAAGATCAGGGTGGGAATGGGGCAACTTGTGAATAAGAATTTCAGTGTAAATTGTCATGTATCCTTATGCTTATTGCCAGTGTGAACTTTGGTTTGTTCCACTGCTAAAGGAACTATTGGCTACATGTTGATATAAATATACATGTGTACAATCATTATTGTCTCTTGATAATTATTCTCACTGAGGGAAGCAGGTAGGATGTCTTGCTGTACCTACAACCTCTTAGACTGTTGGTCGTACCTAATATTAATCTGTCATTATTAATAAAGATTGTGTATATATATGTAATAGGCACAACTGTCCGGTACTGCAATTCACTGGCAAGATTTCTTACCAGACCCAGCCGGGTACTTTCATATGAAAATGAATAGTTGTGCAGATCTTTTTATAATGGTGCAAAGTTTGTTTTGACTCCTATATGCGATTGCGACACTTTCCACAGCAGTTTTTTATATAACACAAACAAATCTTGACAAATGCATTGTAAAAGTGCTATAGACTACCATGATATTTCTTGCAAACTACACAGAGGAGGAGAAATGTGTTCGTCTGCGTGCCGTGTTGACATTCGTCTTGTCAAAAAGAACTTGTTTCGAAAAGCTGGGATCCCCCACTTTCAGTTGCCATTCTCTTAGAGGAAAATGCCTGCGACCTTTCCAATAACTCTTGCTTAGTTTCCTGACTCAT